TTCTCCCCCCCCCCTTCAACCGACTCTCCGTATCCTTTGTCTCACAAGTCTACTTGGTCCTCATAAGGTCTTTTGAAAGTTTTGTTTGCTTTTTCTTTTGATTAATTCACAAATAATTTTTTTGTGGGTGCGGGGAGGGAATGCAAGCGTGTAAAACTCTGAGCCTGCTTGCAGCTAGTCTGGCTTTGCTGCCTTGTGTGATTGGCAGAGGGGCTGTCCGTCTCACTAGGCGGAGCAAGCCCACTGGGGCGAGTCAATCAGGCTTGAGAATTCACCAGTGGATAAAGCCTGCCGAGCTCTGGGAAGAGAAAAATAGTTTCCTGTGGTCACCCCAGCTGAACCGGAGCAGCCTCCCCCTCGTGCAGTTGCCCTGCAGCAGGAAACGGCTCCTCTCTCCACAAACAGGAGTGGGACGGTGCAGGAAATGTTATTCTGGTCTCTTCCCTCAGTGGGGAAAGCGATTCTGTCTTGTGCCTCCAAGGCCCTCGGGTGGTGTGGGCAGGGAAGGTGTCTTTCTGTTTGCAAAGTAATTTTTATTTTCATAGCTGGGGTGTCTCCTGAGTGCAGGTGTAGCCAGATGCATGTAATTGCCCTGTCATGAGGCACGGGCCGTCAGACGGGCTGCAAAGAGCAAAGGTAACGAATGTCTTCATGTATTCCAGGGGAGCTTGCTTACAGTTCTGCCAGCTGCCTTAGGGAATCCAGGCCGGGTGAATCACTCTAGCGCTATGGAGAGGCTAACTTCAGCCCTTCTTCTCTGTCTCTGTGCGCATGTAGCTGTAGTGGCACAAACAAGCTTGTTACTAAAGGCACTCGGAAGTGGAAAGGCGTATCTGCAACTGTTCTGCCTGCAGTTTCTGGTGCTTTCCGGAATGTTCTTGGGGCATCCTGGCCTTCCACGGAAGCGTCTCAGGGTACCTCAGCAAGCTGATGAGAAAGGTAGACAACTGTATGTGCAAGGCATGATAGGCGTGGGGAAACGTACCCGTCATCCCCGCAGTCTGTTCCTGGAGAGGTGGGGTGACCTGGCCTCTGCCCTTGGAGGGTTTGCCTCAGTGAACCACTGGAGCTGGTTCCCCGGAATTGTCTGCAAGGCGCAGGTCTTCCTGCAGTGACTGGAGTGCTATAGCCCAAGACTGACTTCTGAGATTACAAATACTGAAGCAAGCCTTCGGTTGGAGCCAGAACGAGTTTCCCACGAATGCAGTGGACTTTCGGAACAACTTCCCCGCCTTCTCCCCAAAATGCTGCCCCTGGGGGGCCTACAGGAATGGCATGGGGGTGAACGGGGTCTCTTCAGGAAGGAGGAATAGATGGGAATTACTCCTGTTGGGGGAGAATTCAGTCTGGCTCCACCCCCTCTGTTCGCGTTGCGCTGTTAGCCCGTACTACTGTGCCTTAAGCATCCCCTGCCATAGAGAAATGACGCCCCACCTGGCCCTGGCCGCGCTTCCCCCAGATGCCTGTTGTCGGGAGGCTGGCTGCAGGTGTGAACGGAGGGCTAGGGTTTCAATAGGGCCAGGAGCCCCAGGGGGGAGCTCAGGTTGGCATCTTCTTCGGTATCCCAGTCCAGGTGGGCTCCAGGCACCAGAAGCCGGTGGCTGATCCGGCTGGCCACGAGACGGAGCAGGCCGGCTGCCTTCTGTTTGGGGGAGGAGGGTGCTGGTGGCTCAGACCCGCCCCTGAGCGGAATGGAGTCAGAAGGAATGGCTTTGTCCAGTCCAGACAGGTGGCTGGCCCCCACCCCCTCCTCCTGCGAGGGTGTGCCTCCTGCGGCTTCTTCTGACCCACGGCCACTCTTGCGAAAGGTGCTGCTGGTTCTTGGCTCGTGTTCCGCCAGTGAGGGAAGCGTGGCTTCACACGATCAGCATCTAGGCGGTGGATTCCTATAGATGCAAAGAACAGCGGGGGGGGGGGGGCACTTCTGTAGTCGGGGGAGTTTGGGACAGCAGGAGAGAGAAGCCGTTTCTTTCTAGTCCTGTCAGTGTCAGACTGCAAGTCCCCTGGAGCCAGAGAGAGAGCAGCAAAGCCGCTGGGTTGCCTCTGCCTAGAGTCCTGGATCCTGTCCTTGAAGTGCTGAGGGTGAGGGTTTGGGGGGAAAGGGAGTGGATCTACTTGGTCCTGCACACGAACTCCCAAGTCTTGCCTTGGCTTGATTCCTTTCCATAGCAGCACCGCAGCGTCAACTCCAAGCTTCCGTCTCCGGGCAGGTTTGCCACTTCAGCCATGACCGCCTTAATGCCTCTCCTCCTTCCCCCCCCACCTTTGCTTGGCTCCCCCCTCGCCTCCCCCTTTCCCACAAGCGAGGGCAGCAAAGTTGTTCTTCCTCGTGTTAGTTCAGTTTCTATGGTCAGTGTAAAAACAGGAAAACGTTGAATAAATTTAAATAAAACCGTGTGTCCTGTCGTCACGTCGTCGCAGAACTGGTTCGCACACATGCTGAGCAAGGGACATCACCGTCCAGCTGGGCCACTGCAGGTAGAAAGGGGTACAGCTGTCATCTGAAGGGTGATGCTTTCACGTGCGACGGTCAGACATTGTGCCCAGTAGGGGCAGCACACATGAACACGAGAAGAGCTCTGCTGGATCAGGCCAGTGGTCTGTCTAATCCAACAACCTGTCTCACACGGTGAACTGCCAGTTATTCTGGATGGCCAAACACACAGCAATGAGGCTTTCCCCTGATGTTGCCACTGAATGTCGAGGGTTCCCTTCATTAAATGTGTTGTCGCCCACTCACCCAATTAGTGGAGATCCTCCTGGAGCTCTTCATAGAATCCTAGAATGTTAGAGTTGGAAGGGACCTTTCAGGTCATCTAGTCCAACCCCCTGCACTCTGCAGGAGCACAGCCGAAAGATAGCCCTACAACATACCCAAAAGATGGTCGTCCAGCCTCCACTTGAAAACGTCCAGCGAAGGAGCACCCACCACCTCCCGAGGCAGTCTGTTCCACTGCTCAACCACTCTCACAGTTAGGAAGTTTCTCCTGATATTTAGCCGGTAACGACTCCCTTGTAATTTCCACCCATTAGATCTAGTCTTGCAATCCGGAGCAAGAGAGAATAGATCTGCTCCATCTTCTACATGACAGCCCTTCAAATACTTGAACACTGCAATCATGTCCCCTCAAAGCCTTCTCTTTCCCAGGCTAAACATACCCAACTCTTTCAGCCTTTCCTCATAAGACTTGGATTCCAACCCTCTCGCCATCCTGGTTGCCCTCTTCTCGTGACTTATGGCTATCGAAAAGAAAATCACTTCTATTGGTTTTAACCTGGTTGCCCTCTTCTGGACACGTTCGAGCTTGTCAACATCCTTCCTAAAATGTGGTGCCCAAAACTGGACACAGTACTCCAGTTGAGGCCTGACCACAGCAGAATAGAACGGACATCACATAGTTGGCCTTGGTTTTCACCGTCCTGAATAATGT